TGCTATGTATGGCCAATCCTTTCCCAGCTACAGATGGAAAAGGCCTTCCTAAATTGAAGCAAGTAAGAAATCCCTACCATTCCAGGAATTCAATTCCACCCCTTAGGATAAACCTCTACTAGCATCACTAAAGGATTGGGCTGAGCCAGGTCAGACGTTGGTACACAGGTTCAAGAGCACAGGTTCCATTATGGAGATCATAGTGTTTGGTCCTAAACCTTGTCCAATTATCTCAGACTGCCAGGTGAACATTCAGTACTCAGGTGATTGCCAAGCACCTACCCCACCATGGGCATGTGGTGGTTCCAGCAACCACCCAGTAAGTACCCTGAAGCATTCAGCTCTTCACAGGCTTAGCATCACAGCAGGGTTTTGCTTTTTGAGGAAGGGTACCTTCTGGCCACCTCAGTTAGGTAGGCTTCTCACCCCGGAGAAGCCTTAAACCCTGGGGCCCAGCTTCCTACTACTATGGCCCTGCTTTAAGTGAAGTGCTTGGCAGGTGCTGCTCTGTTGGTTTCTCAGGTTTTCACTGTCTTGGTCTTGCTAATAAGGGTTTAATACTTTTGTCTTTCTGAATTTCTCATTATCCACCTCCCCTGCTTTCCACCCACCTTCCTGCATGAGCTCTACCTTAGCCACACAATGGCCAGTCCTCCCCTCTTGGGACCTCTTTCCTTCACTCAATTTGATTTCAAAGTTGGGAAAAATTGCACTTAAGAATGAATCATCCATTTTATTTTATTTTGTCATGTGCTCACAGCATCTCTCTCTCTCCCTCTCAATCTCCCCCTCTCTCCTCTCCCTGGCAGGTCAGACATAAATTAAAAATAAAATCTGCAAGGAAAATAATTTATAAAAGCACTTCCCAGGCTCCTGCCTTCTATCTTTACTGCTCAGTTAGAATACCACCCCTGCCAAGTGAGGGACAGATTCAGCGCCCCCTACCCCCAACTCACTCCTGGTAGTCCGGGGCAGACAGAACTCAGCCAGGCCAGGGTGTGATGGGGGCAGCAGTGGCAAACAAACAGGAAAACAGACACTGGTTCTGAACTATCTGGCCATCTTGGCACTCCCCTCTCTGCCTCCCCCCCAGGCAGTTCTCCAGGAGCCCTTGCTGAGCTAGGGGTGTGGAGAAGTTGCCTGTGGCTGAGAGCCTGTGGGGAGGTACTCTCAGCTCCCATTACATGCACTTCTCATTCTCCTAGAAAGAAACCCAGTGAAGAAAGACAGAGACCTCGGGACAGAGGAGAAAAATCCCAAGTGTTCACACAGTTACACGGAGTCTTTATGGCAAAGAGAACATTTAGCAGCTTTGAATATTGGGGTATCTCCTTTTTACTCAACACAAGCATTCTAGACCCTATAAGTGAAACCGGGCCCAAGCCCTAAAAAAATCAAAGCGCGAGAAACTCTAAGAGGACTAGTTTGTTGTCGCTGGGTTTGGTAGTTTTCTCCAGTGCCGAGCCCAGTTGGTGGGGGAGATCTAAGGGAAGGGTCACTTCCCAGTGTTGTGCTGAATACTGCTTGGCTTCTCTACATCACCCACTGCCACCAGGCAGGCCCCAGGTGGCGGCAGGCCCAACACTGGGGGCACTGCCAGCACCCCAGCTGCAGAGGAGCCCCAAGCAGCAGCGAGGGGTGCGAGGGGGTGGGAGAGAACAGCAAACACATGCAGGCTCCCAGGGAGCCGTGGGTGCCTCAGCTGAGGTGTCTGGGCACAGGAGGAGATGGAGTGGAGTAGACAAGGTGGAAAGCTCCAGGCTGATGGCAGCCTCCTAGTCCCCGTGGAAGTTCTGACACACCTGTGAGGGGCCCGTGGTCACCATGGCTGGCAGCTGAGAGGCAGAGGCCAGGCCTTGAAGTAGCCCGTGGGTGCTGTGAGGAGGTGCTGGAAGGTTGGGCAGGCTCTGAGCAGCCGCCAGCAGGGTCAGGGAAGAGCTCCAGCTTCTTCTGTTATAGCACTACTGAAGCAGGAAACCACAGCGACTCTTGGTGAAGACTATCAATTTTAAATAATTTTCAATAGTTGAGCTTTTAAGCATTTTTTTCAGATTATCTTATATTCCAGACCTCATTCAAACTTGGCTCAATTTTATTTTAACCCATGGCCATTTGGTGCTCAGCACATCTTTATGGTCTATGGCCTCGTAGTATTGGAAATCTGTTGTAATTATTTCCTTTGTAGAGAAAGGGAAAATGATAGAGGAAATTGCCACTCCAAAATAATTTGGTGAAACTGGAACTCTGAAATATAAATTGTCTACAATGGCTCCATATCCTGATTAATGTATGGAGCTGGGTTCTGAGATCAAATTAACCCTACACAGTATCTTAATACCAATATTAAGCTGATATATAAGTCGAATCTTCTCATGAGGATGTTTCCATCTAAAAACAGAGCTGATTGGACTGTAAGTCCAGGCTCAGTGTTTTCCCTTCTCAAAAATTTGAAATGCAAATGTTACTACCAGGCCAGCATTCAGCTTCGTAAGGGAAGGAGTCTTCATTTTGCCTTGCCTTTTAGCACTAGGAAAGCAATCAGGTTGAGGCAGCCTGATGTTCCAATGTGTGGCCAAAGGAAGATAGAGGAGCTTAAGATACCCAGACAACCATCAGTCTGACCTGCAGATATCCTTGGTTCGACTGCCCAGCAGCACTGAGGTTTTCTCCAAGTTACTGCTTTCCTAGCCAGTGTATTCAGCTACTCATCTCTCTTATGTGAATGACTTTTAATTGACCTTCACATTGGGAGCTTCCCACTGAATAAACTGCTGAATATTGAAAGCCAATAAAACCATCCTGTGCTGGTATGAAAAGCATAACTGGTTGGCCCTGCTCTGTTGGGGCAAGTAGAACAACCAGTCTATGCTGAAGTTTTTTTGTTTTTTTTGTGGCAGAACTCTGAGGGCTGAAACATTTAGATTTACAATACATGCTGACAATTCATTTCTATAGTTTTTGTATTAAGGAGCTTGTGTTAAAATATTCAACAGCAAGTCTGGGTCTGTGTTGTCACCTGGGTTTGCATGGTGGTTTGTTACAGTGCTAAAGCTGTTTTTACCCCACATGGGTTTTAAAATCCTAGTTGACTTTGACCAATCCTGCCCTGTTTACATAGCCTCAGGTCAGACTGGGCAAGTTTGGGGCCAGGCTCTGAGACATGGGCCCATTGTTTCAATGACTGCTTCAGCCACTAGCTGAGGATTGGATGGCTTAAGACCAGACCACTGAGGTCGGCCTAATTAAATTATTAAGAAGGCAGAGCACCAATTCCCTTTGGTCATTTCTCTACCTCCCCAAGTGTGAACTAGGTTTTATTTCCTTGGTTGAAATAGTGTCTGGAATTAACAAGTACTGTGCTACCTAATTCCATTCTGTAGTTCAACTAGAAAAGAACCACCAGCTCTAAGACTTTCCTGGTATTGTGTGCCCAAAAGGAAGACGGGTTTCTAGCCAACTGATTTTGCACACACACCTTTAGCAAGGCCCCGCTCTCGCTCCTCCTCCAGAGACTACTTGCACGCTAGATTCCTTCTCAACTAATTCATGCAAACAACGTCCAGAGTTCTAGACAAATGAGGACTAGAATTCACATCAAGTGTTAAGTTTCACAGGTATCCCCAGAGTCCCTGCATGCTCATTCTCCACCAGGAAGTTCACAACTAACAGCAAGGAGGGTAACTGACCTCCTGTGTGAGAAGAAAGTAAAAGTCAAAGAACAGATTTTGTCTTTGATGCATTGACAAAATGGCGAGTTAAAGGTTTGTGGATCCTTTTCCCTTTCCAGACAGATGGATCAGTGACAGGAAAACAAGGATAAGCACTCATGATAAGCACATGGGTTTTGCTAGAGAATTCCTGCATTGGGCTGGGAAAGTGGCTTTCAGAGAGGCAGACACCACACTAGATCATGTTTGAATGTGGATAGCATTGCTAAGGAAATTGACTTTATGCTGGTGGTGTCTTAAAACTACACAGACTCAGCCACTAGAGCTATTGCTCTCAGTCAGTGCTTATTGGATATGCTGTGGTAGACTTGAGGGTGGTGGGAATGTCATTTTTCCTGCAAGGCACTTGTTATTCCATATACTTGCCAAACCTGAAGAGCAGCAAGGCCTGGGGTTGCAGGGAGTTGTGAAAGCAGCAGAGGGCTGCCTGAGGAGAGCAGGGCTCCACGGAAAGTACCTCCTCGTTGGCTGGCCATTTGACTGGTTGCTGCTCAGCTTTCCCTAGTAAGAGAGGGAGTCAGCCGCAGAGGGCAGGTCTTGATGACACTGAACATATTTCTAGAGCACTGTTTTCCCCCCCTCAGTTCTGTATCTCTTCTATTTTTATTGAGACAGAGATGAATCCCTGGCATTGTTGGTGAGATCTATGCAAGACAGAAGTTGAAACAATGGGTTTTTTTCCACCTTATGAGAATTAAGATGTATGGGAAAATACGTTGGAATGCAACCTAGGACTGCTTAAGTCAGAACAAAGGGAGCCGCCCACACCCACCTGGGCAGGTCACCCTGAACTTGGGTCTGGAGTTGAGCCTGAGGCTTGCTCGGCTCCCTGCAGCTCTGGGACCTCGGCTCACTCCTGCCTCAGGTGTGGCAGCTCTTTCACAGGCTCTACTTGAAACCTCATAGCTTCTCCCTGCCAGAAAAAGCCTTAAAGCTGTAACATCCACCCCAGCTGCCAGCAGCAAAAAGAGGTCAGCCCCACAGCAGTGCTGACCAACTTGGCTCAAAGCCCCAGCTAATCATCGTGATCTAGACACAACGGCACATCTCTCCATAAGGAGACATGAGGGAAATGGTGACAAAAATACACTTTTCTCAGACCAGGGCAATACTTGCAAAAGGAGAGAGGAATTTTTTTCTTGAAAAATGTTTAACTCAGGTTAAAAAAAAAAAGTTGTAAAAATTACAGCCTAATCGTGACTAAATGAGCAAAAATACACATACGCTTTTCTAGAAGGAATACAAAAATATTCTCTGAATTTTACTTGTCAGTTTACTTGTAATTTGTCTATTTTTACCAGCATGAATTAAAGTTTTTCCAACTTAATTTTTAGTCTTTTTTTCTCCTTTAAGAATCTTGGTTTTATCTGGCTTAGGAATTAATTTCTGATTAGAAATGAACTCCTAACTTGCTATGTATGGCCAATCCTTTCCCAGCTACAGATGGAAAAGGCCTTCCTAAATTGAAGCAAGTAAGAAATCCCTACCATTCCAGGAATTCAATTCCACCCCTTAGGATAAACCTCTACTAGCATCACTAAAGGATTGGGCTGAGCCAGGTCAGACGTTGGTACACAGGTTCAAGAGCACAGGTTCCATTATGGAGATCATAGTGTTTGGTCCTAAACCTTGTCCAATTATCTCAGACTGCCAGGTGAACATTCAGTACTCAGGTGATTGCCAAGCACCTACCCCACCATGGGCATGTGGTGGTTCCAGCAACCACCCAGTAAGTACCCTGAAGCATTCAGCTCTTCACAGGCTTAGCATCACAGCAGGGTTTTGCTTTTTGAGGAAGGGTACCTTCTGGCCACCTCAGTTAGGTAGGCTTCTCACCCCGGAGAAGCCTTAAACCCTGGGGCCCAGCTTCCTACTACTATGGCCCTGCTTTAAGTGAAGTGCTTGGCAGGTGCTGCTCTGTTGGTTTCTCAGGTTTTCACTGTCTTGGTCTTGCTAATAAGGGTTTAATACTTTTGTCTTTCTGAATTTCTCATTATCCACCTCCCCTGCTTTCCACCCACCTTCCTGCATGAGCTCTACCTTAGCCACACAATGGCCAGTCCTCCCCTCTTGGGACCTCTTTCCTTCACTCAATTTGATTTCAAAGTTGGGAAAAATTGCACTTAAGAATGAATCATCCATTTTATTTTATTTTGTCATGTGCTCACAGCATCTCTCTCTCTCCCTCTCAATCTCCCCCTCTCTCCTCTCCCTGGCAGGTCAGACATAAATTAAAAATAAAATCTGCAAGGAAAATAATTTATAAAAGCACTTCCCAGGCTCCTGCCTTCTATCTTTACTGCTCAGTTAGAATACCACCCCTGCCAAGTGAGGGACAGATTCAGCGCCCCCTACCCCCAACTCACTCCTGGTAGTCCGGGGCAGACAGAACTCAGCCAGGCCAGGGTGTGATGGGGGCAGCAGTGGCAAACAAACAGGAAAACAGACACTGGTTCTGAACTATCTGGCCATCTTGGCACTCCCCTCTCTGCCTCCCCCCCAGGCAGTTCTCCAGGAGCCCTTGCTGAGCTAGGGGTGTGGAGAAGTTGCCTGTGGCTGAGAGCCTGTGGGGAGGTACTCTCAGCTCCCATTACATGCACTTCTCATTCTCCTAGAAAGAAACCCAGTGAAGAAAGACAGAGACCTCGGGACAGAGGAGAAAAATCCCAAGTGTTCACACAGTTACACGGAGTCTTTATGGCAAAGAGAACATTTAGCAGCTTTGAATATTGGGGTATCTCCTTTTTACTCAACACAAGCATTCTAGACCCTATAAGTGAAACCGGGCCCAAGCCCTAAAAAAATCAAAGCGCGAGAAACTCTAAGAGGACTAGTTTGTTGTCGCTGGGTTTGGTAGTTTTCTCCAGTGCCGAGCCCAGTTGGTGGGGGAGATCTAAGGGAAGGGTCACTTCCCAGTGTTGTGCTGAATACTGCTTGGCTTCTCTACATCACCCACTGCCACCAGGCAGGCCCCAGGTGGCGGCAGGCCCAACACTGGGGGCACTGCCAGCACCCCAGCTGCAGAGGAGCCCCAAGCAGCAGCGAGGGGTGCGAGGGGGTGGGAGAGAACAGCAAACACATGCAGGCTCCCAGGGAGCCGTGGGTGCCTCAGCTGAGGTGTCTGGGCACAGGAGGAGATGGAGTGGCAGGGCAGTGAGTGACATGCTCGGTGTTGGGACTACTGCAACACGCGGCCTCGTGACCCCTTCCTGTTCACTCTACCTTCGGACCCTAACCCTCTAAGCCACCATTGGGTCCCAGCAGCTCCCCCAGCCTGAAACACTATAGGAGGCAGCCAGGAGCCCCCTTTCAGGGACACCAAAGTGCAGGAGCAGAAAGAGTTCACAAAGCCCCTCCCAGAGCCCACCCTGGGGTGCAGTCCACCCCTCCCCTGGGATGAAGTGGGGTTCACTCATACCAATGACCTAATCCCACCAGAAGGCTGCTGCTTGGAATTCTGGCCAGAGCCAACCTTAACCTGACCTTTTTTCTTCCCACTTTGATTTTTTGGGTTTTTGTCCTTCCTTCCTTGGAGGAATGAGCCATTCCTCTCCTCTCACAAGTCCCTTCCCCTTTGTCAGCCTCCAGCTATGCCAGCACCAACCCTTCCCACGAAGGAAAGGGGTAGGGGTGAGGACCCTGTCCACACAGATGGTCTGGCCACTCCCACGCCCCAGCAGGGGAAGATGAGCCAGACACGCCAGTGCCCACTGCCTCCTGTCCACTGACCCACAGTCATCCCATCTGAGAATTATCTATCAGATAAGAAGGCATTAAAGTCCCCACCATAGGTCCAGGCCCAGGCCCAGCCCTTCTCCAGTTTCCATCCTGGTGAGTGCCAACCCCCCATCCTCCCCAGGCTCACTTTCTCCGGTCCTTTGGCTTCCTCTCCTGTCGCCGGGCCTGCTGGTTGGCCAAGGTGCGGGGAATGAGGAGGACGCTGCCGTCCCCTGCATATTGGAGCGCATACTGACTGGGTGAGTAGGGTCGCCCATTCTCATCCCGCAGCCGCCCAAACACCTCCTGGTACAGGCTCTGGACCTTCTGCTTCATCTGCCGCAGGGACCGGAGGAACTCCACCTTCTCACGCAGCAGCCGAGCTTTATCACGCTGCAGGTCCTCCACATCCCGCTCCAGGTTCAGGATGGTATCCAGCTTGCGCTTGCGGCAGTTCTGTGCCGCCATCTTGTTCTTGCCCCGGCGCCGGATGTCGCGGATGAGGCTCAGCTGGGCTTCACTCAGTTGGTATTTCGATAGCAGCTCATTGAACTCCTCGACAGGCAAGTTGATGATTTTGTCATTGGTGAAGGGGATCTTCATTGCTCGGGCTCGATGCTCATCCCGGCTCATCTGCTTGTCTAAGAAGTCGGCCTGCTTCTCCTTGCTGCCTTTCTTGAGGGCGCTGGGTGGTGGCAGGTCGGCAGAGTCGAGGGCACTGGGCGCCATGTTGTACGTGTGGTTGTGGCCCACGTGCTCCAAGTAGGGCAGGCAGGAGAGCTGAGACGGATCCTGGTAGCTCATGCGGCAGAACTTGGAATACTCAGGCTGGTAGCCCACAGCGCCCTCAACCTCTTCCAGGTCCAGAGTCTCAGAGTCAGAGCTGTAGCCAACAGCACCCTCCTCGGAAAAGGAGGAAGAGGATGAGGAAGAAGCGGAGGAAGAGGAGGAGGAAGAGGAGGAGGAAGAAGAGCTGCCTTCAGAGCTGCTCATGGAGGAAGGGCTATGGCTGGAGTCCAAGGAGAGGCCTGAGTCGGAGTCAAATTCCTCTTCGAGCTGGGAGGCCTGCACAGGGTTAAAGCCTTCCTCAATGGCCAGGTCCATCAGGCTGATCTCGTCCAGCATGGCTTCATCTAACAGACCACCCAGTGGGTCAGGCAGCTCGGGGCCTGCTGTGTCATTGGCTGTGCCGTTGAGCTGGGGTGGAAAGAAGAGCCCTGCCAGGTTGGTGGAGCCAAAGGTGGAGTTGAGGCTGGTGGAATTGCTGGGGGCCAGTGGGAGCAGCGTGGAGGTGCCAGCCACAGGCAGGCTTTCCACCTCGGGGCTGAAGAGTGAGAAGTCCTGGCTGCAGCCCCCCAGGGACGCCTGATGCAGGCTGACATTCTGATTGATGGGAGTGTTGGGAGCAAGGCTGTAGTTGGTACTCAGTGGGTCTCCAGGAGGGGCACTGTACAGGATCTCATTTGTTGAAGTGTTCACTTCCATGGCCTGGTGGGGGAGAAGAGCACCACTGTTCACTCAGAGCAGACTCCCTCCCCAGACGCGGCTGGGGCCACACCAGCAGGCCCCCAACACAGCACAGCTGATGGATATAAAGGCAAGAGACGGGAACCAGAGCCCATGGCCTCAGCTCCTGGCTCCACTTGGTCCACCAGGCCTGGCAGAGATGGGCCCCACCTTAATGCAGGACTGACTGGCTCCTGGTCATGTCTGGCCAGACTCCCTCACCTTGGAAGGAGAGGAATAAAACACCTAACCACTTAACTTCCCTGGGCTTTCAACTTCCTCACCTGTAAATAACAAAGGGCTGACTAGATGATTTTGAGGGCCAAGTGAGATGAGGACGGCTGTAAAGCACTGCATGAATGTCAGCTTTTGTTAATACTAAACCTTGGAAGCACCTAGCCAAGTGGTTATCTACTGGAAGGAAAGGAAGTGGTCATGCCTAGGAAGCCAGCCTGCGTTAGAAGGCTCACCTCCAGGGTTTTAACCCAAACCCCACTCTTACCACACCCACTGCCCCAAGGAGACACCTGGACAATTACCTCTCAGTGTACCCACTTCTTATGGGTCAGACAGGGAGGTGTTACTCTTTCTCTTGCCAGAGATGTAAAAGTAACTGTGCACTAAGACACCCCACATAAAGGCCAGCAGGCCTGTGCCCTGGTTCAATGATCCTACCTGCATTTCCATGATGGACATGAGATCTTGCCACTGCTGTTCCAAATCAAATGGCGACTCTGTCCCCGTCAGGAGAGGAGACAAGAGGTTATTCTGAAGACCTGGGGGCTCACTCTCACTAGGCACTGCTTCTGATATGCTGGAAATGTCTGCTGGAAACTAGGGCAAAACATAGAGGCTTTAGCAGGGGGAAGCCAGACCACCTCTGCTTTCCTCCCAGAGACTACCACCTGAGGTTCTGTCTCTTCCTTCCTCTGATTTCACCCCCAGCAGCCAGAACAAAGCCAGCACCAAGAGCTGGCCCCTCAGGCAGCTGTGGAGGGACACACCGTGTGCAGGCAGCCCTGCTGGCTCAGTGGGCTCTTCCTGGAGTCCTGCTCACCTCAGCATTCTCCCCAAAGGGGCAGGTGGCCTCCAGCAGCCTAAGGCACTCTTCCAGGGACAGGGCCGTCTGGTCCTCCCCACCAGGCACCTGTGGCAACAGCAACTGTAAGTCTGACTGACCTGGGCCTTGGCTGCCTGCAGGCACAGCCTCTTCCCCAGCCTTTCCAAGGGGAAGCTGAAGGAGGACACGCATGGTTGGACACCTGTGCTCCCCCTCTGTTCTGGGCTAACGGCTGACCCAGGGTTCCAAACTCCAGGGGAGACCAGAGGAAGAGCGAAGGAGTCCGACTCAAGCAGGAAGCTGCTAGGTGTTTTGCCTCTGTGCTACGTGTCACCAAGGCCTGGCCCCTCTGCCTCTGTTGCTCATCCACTCCCCCTTCCTCAGCCCACTCACTGTGACTTGGAGACCCCAACCCAAAATACACATTCTGGTCCATCCCACAGATACGACCTGCTTTCTCTAAGGAGGAGTTTCTGAAAGTGGACAGAGGTGGGAGTACCTGTGCAGGGAAGCTCTCCCCAGTTTCTCCATCCACTAGCAGGTTGCGCACCAGAGCTTCTGCCCCTTCGCCTGGCCAGGTGTCGTCCTGCTCAGCTCCACCTCGTACTTCCTTATCCACATCCTGCTCCTTCTGGCGGTGACTATAGTCAAAAATCTCACGCCCAGCCCCCAGGTCAATATCCTGTCGCCAAAGGATGTCAATCAGATCTATGTCCTGGAAGACAGATCACCATGACTTTAGCTCTCAGGTCCAGGGGTCCCTATCTGTCCTGCCCCTTAGAGGTCCCTCCTAGCATCACTCCAATTAGTCCTGGGAGGAGGTCCTCCCAGCCCTACACCTTGCCAGCGTCTCCACCTGCCCCACCCCACCCCTCTGTACCGGCAAGGCTTCATTCATCCATTTCCAAACACCAGCCTGATGGTGTAGTACCAAGAGCTAGCAAAAACCATCACCATGAAGGTCTGTGGGCTTAGGATCTGGACCAGAGACACCACCAGGCCAAAAGGCAGGGCCACCTCACAGTTGCTTAAGGAAGAGGGAATCAGGAAACAACTCCTATTTTGGGAATGGGAATTCCTTACAACTGGTTTGTAGATAGCTGGCCATTGCAAGCAAGGGTGAACTGTCATGCAGAATTGCTTCCCGGTGGCCAGGCTTGCATCAGCCCACGGTGCCATTTCATTTGCATAAAGGGGTGGGGTCGGCTATAGAGGAAAATCCCTGCATTTGCAACCACCTGATGCAACCAATGACAACCACAGGCTGTCTCCAGCCCTTCCTACAGCCGTTCCCCCTCCCCTGGCTGAGGCAGGAGTAAGGCTGAACACCCACAACTCTTAATGTTCAGGCTCACCTCAAGATCCATCCCTGTCAGAATCCCCACTCAGCTGATGCTAGCAGGTTGCCTCCATCCCAGAAAGGCCTCAGGCAGTCAGATGATCCTCACCGGGCACCCCACCTCTGCCAAGGCCAGCCCCACAGTGTCCCTCACACCAGTGCCCTCACTCCTTTTCTCACCACACCCCCAGACTCACTCCCCATCAGCCAGCCCACTCAAAGGACACAGTCCCCATCACCATTCAGCCACAACTGCCACCTCGGGCACCAAGATGCCTCCACCCGGCTATCCTGGTGCTCCTGATCAGTTCCTGCACCAGCTGCCATCCCCACTGCCACCAGCATAGAACCCCAATAAATAAAAACCATTTGGGCTTCCTACACATGCTGCCCCTGTGGCTGAAGAAACCCCAAACGTTGACTTCCACTCAGAGGTTAAAAAGCAGACATGTTCCAGAAAGCAACATCCTTAGAACAGACCCACCTCCCTAGCCCTGACCAGGGAGCCCTTTCCCACCGTAACCCTCCCTGATCCTAAGACTTCCCAGATGTACCTCTCCTTGTCGTCTCCCCACATACACCAACCTGAAGAGAAGCCCTGGACCCAGGAGCAGAGGGCGGCTGGGCCACCCGGTGACCAGCCAGCAAAGAGTTAAGGGGCCGGCTGCCTTTGGCATGGCCCCCACCACTGAGAGAGCTGCGGTCCAGGCGGGTCATGGTCTGCAGGATGAGCCCCAGTGCGGCCGGCACTGGAAAGCCGGACAGGGGGCTGCAAGGAGCTCTGGGCTTGCAGGGAGCACACCAGGCTGGAAGGGTGGCCCCTTGCTGGCTCCGAGGGGCCCGAGGAGGGTGCCCCGCCCGTGCTGTTGCCTGGGCGGCCCAGCCCAGCCCCCTTCCTCCATCCTTGAGCAGCCCCCTCCCACCTCACAACCCCAGTTCCACTCAGGCTCCCGGCAGCCCCCACCCTGAGCTCACCGCAGAGGCTGCGGTGAGATGGGACTCCCACCCCATGCTCCGTGCTCAAGCTGCAGAGAAAAGCAAGCTCCCTCCAGGGCCTATCCTCCCGCTCCTCCCTCTCTCCCCCTCCCCACGCCCCCCAAACTTGTTACCTAGGCTGCAGCAAGGAGCCAATCCCCTCCCCCTCCCACCCCGCAGGTCACTGCTGAGGCTGCAGAGAGCCAATCCCCTCCCCCAGGTCAGCAGCTGGGCTGCGGAAAGAGCCAATCCCCTCCCACTGTCGTTACCTAGGCTGCGACAAGAGCCAATCTCCTCCCCTAAGTCTCCGCTGGAGATGCGGAAGGAGCCAATCCCCTCCCACCGCCTGTTACCTAGCTGCAGCCGGGAGCCAATCTCTGCACCAGGGCAGCTGGAGAAGCTGCCGCAAGGAACCAGCCCATCCCTGGGCCGCCTCCGTCTCCTCAAGGAGACGCACCCAGGGGCGGGCTGCCCCACCCAGCCCAGCCAGCCAGCCGGGGTGGCGCAGTGAGAGAGCCCTGGGGGGAAGGGGTGCCCCTCTCCTTCCTGTCGCATCCTGCTTACCCAGCCCACTCAGCACTGGGCAGACGCGCTGCTCCCGCAGCTTCTCTGGGAATCTAAGTTCTTCCCTGGAAGTGGAAGTTTTCCCGTTCCTCAGGAGGGTTGTGGCCAGCGGCCCTCACCCAAGCATCAGAAGCTAGGCGGCAGGAACCCCGTACACCCAGACTTTCTGTGAGCCAGGAGCTCTGTCACTCTCAACAGGCCGGGAGGAAGGGGGAGAGCCATGTGCACACGTGCAGCACTGCCACAGGGCCGGCCAGGCCTAGTCTCAGGCAAAGGCAGGCAGCCGTGCCAAAAGGCCAACCCTGAAGGAGACAAGTGCTCCGCAATCTCCTGGCCACCACCGTGACCCCCACTTCCCCTTTACCCAGCTGCGTTCAAGAGCATTCCCTGCCTGATCCCAGGCCCACATCTCTAAAGCACAAAGCCACTGACAGAATCAGGATCACAATTCCAGGCCTCATCTTCACTGCTGCTCCCTTGAGCCTAAGGTCAGGTCAGGGACAGAATGATCTCCTTGGTCACAGTCTGCTCCTCGCCTGGAAAGAGCTGTACATAGGCCACCCCCTGCTCTGGGCAGAGTGCCAACCTCGAGGGGAATCCTATCCCTGACAAGGCCCTGGACTATGGCTGTCCATCGAACAGGCCTGGCAGTAGGGGAGTGCTGCCACCGCAGGGATAAGACCAGCTCCAGCAGTGCCTGTCACATGCTCTGGACCTGGGTATTTTTATCCCCGAGTTGCTGAGGAAATGTCGTTCTAGACACGAATAATCCTCCCTTCCCCCATACCCAGCCTGGGCCCCTAATACTGAACTCTATCCCCATGAAGGCCGCAATGAAGGCATGGGGTCAGAGAAGCCCAACCTTCACAAAGGCCAAGAAATGGAGGAAAGCAGGGTCAGAATCCCATTCCATTCAGCCCCAACCCATCCAATTATATCCAAAACATCTCCTCCCACCCCAGGAGAGCTCCTGGCAGGGATGGGAATGCAGCTACTCCTGCAGGGTTCCCAGCAGCAAGCCAATCACACCCACCCTGGGGAGCTACACTGGGACAGGACGACAGAAGAGGAGGCTGGGAAGCATACTCCTACAGACCACTGTACTCCTACAGTGCAGGCCTGGAGCCCATCTGGAGGAAAAGGAAAGAGGAAGCAGAAGAAAGATAAAGTTCGAGCGGCACTGTAAAATCTAGGAAAAGAGGCACTAAAGGTAAGGAATGCTAGCAACTCCCAGGCTCAGACAGTCCTAGTCTCTTTCAAAGGGAAACAAGTATGAATCAGCCAAGCATACAGCAATCCTGGTACTGCTGGCATTTGGGGCAGATCAGTCTGTCATTTGGGGGTGTCCTGTGCGTCTTAGAAAGTTTAGCAGCATCCCTGATCTCTCTCCACTAGAAGCCAACAGCAGCTTCTTCAGTCTTGAAAACCAAAACTGTCCCCAGACATTGCCATGTATACCCCAGGGGGCAAAATCACCCCTGGCTGAGGATCCCTGGCCCAAAAGAAGCCACAAGCTTTGATCATCTATCATTCAGAGAACTGAGCTCATGAGCGGGCTCAAATGTGGGATGGGAGGCAGAGCCTGGTCAGACTGGTGGGCAGAAAAGCCAAGTTCTGCATCTGTAAAACTTTTTGCATACCTCCACAACCCTGCCCCCAAACACCCTCTCCCAAAACTCAGTTCTGGAAAACCCAACCCGGTACAACAACAGCCTTCTCTTTTCCTAATGGCCAGCAAAGTGCAGTGGGCCTTTTTCATGCTCCTTAAGGCTGAGTTTGGCAAGCAAGGGCCAAACACAGAGCTCAAAGCAGTCTTATCATATTGGTGGGGTAGAGGCAGCAGTAACAATTCACATCATTACAGGCCTCCATCACTTTCTGCCCAGAACAACACATCAACCATGTCAGGAGCTAAAGATCTTGACAGCTCTGAACAAGCTGGCTTAGGCAACAGAATACAATTTCTCTTCTAGCTCCCAGCCCTTTCCCTCCCTGCAGTGGCCTTCAGCAAAGAATGGGAGCCTTGGCCCTCTCCCGTCCAAGAATAGCTACCTAAATCTATTCCTTGGCTCAGGCCCAGGAGATCCAACTTATCAAGGACCTTACAACAACAGGCCTGACCACAAGAAGGAGAATTTCAGGATATGTGTGTTTTCATGTGGGGGGAGATACAAGGCAAAAGTCCACGAAGTGTTTGTGTCGCTATTAGCAACAGATACACACCAAATCAAAGCCCATCACAACATGACTCCCTCCCCCACCCCAGGGCCTCCAGGCAGCATGTTGAAACCCAAGCAGTAAACACCCTGGCATGTTCTAGGAACCTCCCACTGCCGGACAGTACATTTAGAGGTGGGTCAATGTTTGAAAACAAGGAAATACTCCCCGCCCCCAATCCTAGGCAGAAAATTCAGTCCTTTTCTCTCCAAGAACAGTGCCTGAGACCACCCACCCCAATCTCCCTGGTTCTTTACAGGGGTTAGTATTAAGACCACACTCCTTTAGGACCAGCCCACCAGCAACCCCAGACCCCTCCCACACATCCCTCCATGTGGTCACTAACCTCTTTGGTTAAGTCTCCACTGACTGGAGGGGCTACAGCCCCCAAATCCTCCAAATCTTCACTGAATCCCTGCTCCGTTTCGCTTTCTCGCACCCCGTTGTCTGGGCCTGTCACATCTTGGAGGCCACTGGAACTCTCGAGAGCGAGGCCTGAGCTGGGCTGGCTGCCAGAGACAGACCCCTCCGGATCCCGGTGGACCAGCCAGGCGTTTACCTCAGTCGTTGGCACCTGGAACCTGTCCAGGGCCCTCACCTGACTGAGGAGCCGCCGGGCAGTGAAGTAATTGTCCAGGTCTATGCTCTTGGGGTGGATACCATAGCCATCCAAGGTATTCCTCAGGTTGTGGAACTGGGTCTGTGTATAGGCAGAACTGGGCCCCAGGATGATCTCCCGGAGTGGGGGGAGCTGTGAGGTCAGGTAAGTATCCACGTCCACCCGCACCCCAATCAAACTCAGCAGAATGGTGAACTGGAGAAGTCCTTCCGTTAAGTATTTCTTCAGAGAAAGCATTGCTGAAGGACCAGAATGTTTATGCTTTTTGGTTTTTAAATCTTCCAAAAGACAAATCAAGGCCACTGCTCTGCTGCTCCAGCCAGCCAGTTACCCTTGTCAGTGCCAAACCCTGTACCACACCCTGGCAGAACACAGGGGCTGAGCTCCCTGATGGCCTAGGAGGAAAGCACACCCCGAGGAGCCAAGGCCACACGCCAGACCACATTCACTTTTCCCTTCTCGACACCTCACCTCTGAAAGTACAACTGTTCCTAACCCAGTCCAGGCCCTCAGGGCCCACGTGACTTACTGTCTCCACAGTCCACACAGTCACTTCCTCACTCACATTAGTTGTCCTCTCTGTAGATTCCACTGTAGGCTGTTCTCAGGAACAGCTGATGGATTTTTTTTTTTCCTTCTCCCTCCTAAGGTTTATTTTCTTTGGCTGGAGCTACAGGCCTTTTGTCTTGGGTCAGAGTGTCCTGCCTCCTCCACACTTACCAGGGGGGTTTCCAGAGAAACCTGAAATGGGAATCACAAGAGCAACAGGATGAGATTCCATAATTTTCACACCATGATGAAGGCGGAAGGCAGGAAACACAATGAAGGACCATTTTTATTCTAGGAATATTTTTGAGAAAAAAAAATCCTAGTCAGACAATAATTATACTCCTAGAAAAATATAAAGAAACTGTTACAGACAAAAACAGCAGCTATGAATGATATTGCTCACAAAGGATCCCAGTTTCCAAATATTAAATGTGCAATAACCTAAAAGGTAGCTAGTTTTGAATAAGAAGGTAACACCCATAGCATCCAAAATATTATAGGTATCTGATTCACCAATCTCCCCCATACGCGCACTACCCAGCTTCTATTTTTAACATGAGAAATACACTTCCTATCTTAAAGGAAAGTTGGTTTCCCATCTCTAAGGAGAAAACTGCCTGTAATCCTTGTCCTTTCGAGTTAACGGAAGAGAGATTAGGAACAGGTCAGAGTGTAAAAGGACATGAGGACAACGTTCAGGCCACCACTTCACAGAAAAGAATACATGCCCTTCGTCCAACTCTGAAATCTGATTTTCCTTCCCTGACACTCTCACATTTAAAAAAAGGGGAAGAGGGTACTAAGGCAGGATTATTCGGTTCATAATATGCATAGGCAGATTTTATTTTAATTCATATGACCTTCTAAGCCAAAGCAGAAAGATATGGCCAAGTTCTCTGCACAGAGAGCCAAGTGGGGAGGGAGCAAATCTGCCTCTTTCAGTTTCTGGTCTCTACTTTTGAGCTTCCATTAACCTCATAAACCAAGACAGCTCTCTTCACTGAGGGACGCACGCACACACACACACCTATTTGTTAGGGTAAACACAACTACGACCCAGAATTCCTGCCTACACTCCCTTCCCATTCTCACGCAATTTATTACTAAAACCTCCCGAGAGTCAATTAAGTTCGAGAAACTGGATGAGGCTTCTTAAAGAGCGACTAAAGCCAAAGACCTCTGGTCTGAGCCCAGTCCCACCCTGCCCCGGATACCCGAGTCCGGCTGGGACCAAGTCGCCATGCCCGCTCTCGGCGCCTCGGCTTCTAGCCTTCTGGGGCAGCAGCGAACAAGTGCTACTTTCCTGGCCTTGACCCACCCTCACGGCCAAACCGCACCCCGCCCTCCGTCCCTACGGCCCCACCCCGCTCCCAAACCAAACCCTAACACCACGCCTTCTCGTGCCCTCAGCCCTCCTAGTCCAACCCACCCGGAGCCGGCTTTCTCGTCGATCCCGCGGCCCCTCCCTGCCAGGCCCAGGGCCCGGCCCCACAGCGAGCCCGGCTTGGCCGCCCGCTCCCGCCTCCCGCTTCCTGCCCCTCAGCTCTACCCCGCAGCCCTTCGCCCCATAAGCCTCAGCCCCGCGGCGCTGTGCCCCTTCTGTCAGTAAAGGAGTGTGCTTGATACCCGCCGCTGAGCTCGGCGTCCGCCGCTGCCGCCACAGCAGGCCCTCAGCCCCGAATCCCAGCCTTGCAGCCGCCACCGCCGGCTGGCCTAAAGCTTCCCAGCCTCCGCTTCCCTCCCCGCCCCCTCCTCCCACCACACTAGGAAGCCCGCCTCCCCGTCCTCTCCCGGAACACGTTTCTCCAATCAACAAGCTGGAACCGTGGTCGTCGCCGGATGTCGCTTTGATTTACGGCAGAGAGGAGCCAATGGCCAAGGCGCCCCGCTTTCCTTTCCCAGTACTGACATGTCCACGGCCCAATGGGCATGTAGGCCCCCCACGGCGTGGGCCCGCCAATAAGCGGTGCTGAGATTCTATCGCCCAGGATTCTGTAACCCTCCGCTGTTCGCCAGCCGCGGGAGGTATCACCGGCTAGTTGTGGTGTAAAGTTTATTGCCTGGACGTTTGCAGTGCATTCTTCGAATGGAAATTAGGGCCTACGCCCTGGGTTAAGAGGCGGCATCGACTCCGAAGCTCGGAATCCCCCCGTGAGGGTTCCCACGGTGACTTGCAAAAGTCCAGTGAGACCTGAGGAGGCCTAGACGGGACACAGCATTGAGCTTGGTGGCGACGTTTGTGCCACCATCTTAGGTGCTGGCAACGCAAACCGCCAGCCCAACTTCCGTTTTAAGGGCCTCGTCGTGCACCTCGTCAGTCAGGGACGGTTGCGTCGCAAGTCCCAGGCAAGGGTCGCAACACAGCGGATGGGTTGCCACGACAGTAGCGGAACGGTGGCAGTGTGGTGGATGTGGCATAAATATTTATATTTGTCCTTATAGAAACACCCGAAAGAGCTCCTTCCCACTGTTCTTTCCCCCGCCCAACTTCTCATGGAATTCAGCCTTGCCTTTGAGGAACTGTCCTGTTTCTGGTGTTCTCCAATTTCGTCTAGTCAACGTTTGTGATTTTCAAACATTAGTTTATCCCCAGCATCACTTGGGAAACTCGTTAAACTTGCGTATTCTGAGGCCTCAGTCCAAGGTTTCTCACGACTTAACCCTGGGGTGGTGGCCCGAAAACTTTCCTGCTCAGCAAACGGCTCAGGTCATTTTAATGCAGCTAGTCCCAACATCACAGGTAGGTCATCCCGGAGTTGGAGTTCCTAGTTATTGCTCCCTGCTGTAGAACAAAGAGACGTCAATCCCGCGAAAATCCTCATAATCCAGTGGGCAAGTCATTCATTGGCTTTTGTACAACTAAGTACAAGTCAACTGGTAACTCATTAGATAAGAACATAGAGACCATTACGTGTTTGGAGAATTGGGAGGCTTAATTTGGGGTGGTTCACAAATTATAAAGCACTTTAACCCCACAGAACTATCCACTAGCGTCCATTCACTGAATCTTTAGACAACTACGAGCTTAGTTACACATTTCAAAGACTGATTCAGAGAGCACAAGTTTTGTTTTATTGTCTTTCAGAAAATACTGGAATACAAACTCCTTGAGGACTAGAATTTTGTGCATAAACTGTTGAGTTTTCAAAATTTATAACAGTGCTTAGTAAACAATAAATACTGAGTAATTGAAAACTCAGCAGGCAGGCCTGTCATTAGAAGTTCCTGTTAAAAGAAGAAATTAATGCTTGGAGAGAGTATGGTTTTGAAGAATGTGGCATACTGCCAAGGAAATGAGAGACCATTCAGCCTCTGAATTAATAAGATAGTAAAGGTACATATTGCTGTTGGATAAGAAAGGAGGAAATTTTGAGGTGTAATCATTAAAAATATACCAAGGGGGTTTGAGAAGGGAATGTTTAAAAACCATAGAACTGAAAGATAGCAAAGCTAGACTAAAGTTACAGGGCTTAAATATAAGACTGTTTTGAAAAGGTAGAGGGAGAGATTGCATACTAAGAGCAGTCATATGTTTGGCACAGCAAATACAGAATAATTTTAAGCCTTAACACAGTTTAAATACAAAACAACTGGGCAATCCTTAAGGGGAGTCAGGAAACAACACCAACTAAGTGTTTTGGAGAAGTTCATTAGCATTTTCCATGTTTCTTTAGAGCTGCATAGCAGGGTACCAGGTGCTTGGGATAAGAAATAAAGTCATATAGTGGATAAGAGGCTGATGTACATGAAATCAAATAAGATATTCATGGAAATGAAATGGCAACTGTAGATGTGAAGCCCACATTGGGGAGATAAGGTATGGTATTGTTATACCACTTTGAAAGTCTGAATTCATTTGGTGGCCTTTTTAAAAATTTTTTTATTAAGGTATGATTGATATAGACTCTTATGAAGGTTTCACATGAAAAAATAATGTGGTTACTACATTTACCCATATTATCAAGTCCCCACCCATACCCCATCTCAGTCACTGTCCATCAGTGTAGTAAGATGCCACAGATTCACTATTTGCCTTCTCTGTGCTACACTGTTCGCCC